TTTGTGGTGCATAAGAAAGCATCTCAGAGATGTGTGTCTTCGTCAAGCACTCCGTTGTTGTATCAGATTGAACGCTTCCCTAGAACTTGTCTTCGCTGAAATTATGGGCTGACTTTGACCTGTCATAGGTCAGCGACCTTGCAAGGTACATGTAAAATTTGCATGTCAAACGCTATGTAATTTTCTGCAGCTAAGCAAAATTTGGCGCGGCTACGCCGCGCCGTTCAGAACCCATTGGAGAAAATCCTCGGGGGTCAATTTGTCCCCCCCCCCCCACACACACACACGAGCGCGTGTTAATGTGTTCCGTTTCACTTTCATGGCCTAAGATGTTAAAAAAACGAAATAGTTTTGTCAGGTTCCTGATATTACGTCCATGCCAACTTGAAATAGATGTGTTTGCTGAAGCATCAGTCACGAGCTCATAAGTTCCATCTGTTGTGAATTGATTTTTTCACTCACGCACGGTCTTATTGCGATGGAATTTTTCACTCCCACCCTAGTTCAAAAGCGATTCTAGCTCCCTGTATCTAGGTGGATAGTGCTTCCTCCCTAATGCACCGAACATTTTAAAATACATTTACAACCGTTTAACTCACCAACTCGTCACATATTTCAATTTCGGATCAAATATCACAATTCAGAACCTGGCACAAACCGGCAAGCTTTTGGCCGGGTCAGACTTGTTAGACTTTTGCGGGTAAATAAGTAACATGGTGCATTTTTTGTTGTTGTACTTCACTGCCATACACAATGCAGTTAACTGTCACACACAACGTAATTATCAACATTCCTATTTTCGTCTTCCTGGCAAGAACCCAAAATGAAAGCAATTTTAGCATCAGCCTCAGTATCAGTATCAGTGTCAGTATCAGTCTATTCACATAGCGGCTGTTACGGTTTCAGGTCATGCGGATGCAGTATGAAAAGCCACACCTTTGTAATGTTACGAGCAATGGTCAAAGCGCCAAATCAGACCTATCAATGCACTGTGGGACCGGATCACATCAGCTCCAGGAAGCTGCAGCGCGATGTGAGAACGCCCTCTGTGTGGCGGTCAGCCGGTGCTTGCGCAGGTGTAGATTACCTCTGTTCGAGGCGCGCGTTGATCGGGTCAAAACAGCGGCGCGTAAGAAAAAACATAAAAAACGCGCGGACCTTGTGAGGCGCGCCTGCCTCGCTCAGCGCCATAAAGACTCTGATCACGTCACGGCGCGCCACGGTGCGTCGCGGGGTTTTATGATGGTGCTTTTGGAGCCGGTAATTACTGTTGCAGCAAAGATGATTGCTTTCTGAATTTCGTGTACTTAACTCTTTGTCGTCCCATCCTACACGCACAAGCAGGACGTGATGTGAGCGCACACGTGCGCCTGGATGATGATTTTGAGAAGATCTGAAGTACAGCAGTGACAGGCGTTGTACAGAGAAACGAGGATGTCATTGCATTTTTCCGCGACGCTCCAGACACGGACACCCCATGACAGGCCGCGGTCAACTATGATGCCGATCATTTTGATGCTACTTGAGGCATGCAGAACCAAACCGACTACTGTGAAGTGTAAGCCAGGTGATTCCTTAAATTTTGCATGTATCTAACAAACATAAAAGTAGTTTTTTCGTTTCCTTTGGAGAGAATTGGTGCTGAAACATTTCTGAAGCTCACGCATGAAAAGTCACGGTATGTTTTTGAGGTGGCGCGTAGTCCACGTGCATGGTGCCGTCAGCGTAGGAAATAAGGGCGGCCGTGAGTCAAGTAAAGATCGTCGATAAACAAAATTAAAAAATCGTTGTAAGCATCACGCGATGTAATAAAACGAACAGCTTAATGCAAAGATCTTGCGGAAAAGCAAGATGCAAGAAGCAAAATGAATAACTTAATGCAAACATCTTGCGGAAAAAGTCAACAATGACTACCGAAATCATCAAAGCTTAGTCTAATTTAAATGAGCAGGGGTAATGTGCGTCCTTTATGCAAACACACCGTCGTGCTGTGCGGGGCTGCTGTTATGACGGAAAGACACACTGAAATATTCACTTTCTTGCACAAACTATAAGCCAGAATTAATATGAATAATGCATGAAATGACCGATAAAAGGTGTGACTTGCATTTTCACAATCTTTCTCACTGTTGTCTGGTGCTATTTGTGTATCAAATGCGCACTATTTGTGTATCAAATGCGCAGCAGTTGCCGAAATCATGATAGTGGGAATGTAGAGCCTTAATGTTTATAAATGTATTACTCTATACATACAAGATCATACAATTTAGGACAGCGGTAGCATGGGCTTTTATGAACAATACTTTTTGCCCTTAAACTGACTTCAATTTATTTTCAGTTTTTTTCTCATGAATATTTGTGTTCTGTCTGCTTATGCCATCTCTTTCGATCCCGACGTGGCAGCCACAGCCTGCCATTTGTACATAGTTATTCGCCGGGAACCCCATTCCATCAGAGGACGTCAGCCATTCTTGCGATATTATTCTAGAAGTTGCAGTAACCAGGGTATGCGGGCGGCTGTCTTAAGAAGGCTTTGATCAGTTTGTGTTTTCGTCGAAATTTTGTTTAGCATTTAAATGAACTGTTTCACTTTTGAAGGATACTGAGATAAGCATCAGATATGACGGGAAACGCTTGCTTGTAACTATTGGTGAGCTTTCAAGCTTAAAAACCACCCTAAGTAGCAAAATTTCAAAGTATGCAAAATGCGCCCCACTACGTCATTGTTTGAGGACGTCATGGAATGCTTTTGTGACGACAGCAGTACCTGGCAGCATCTGGCAGCCAGACCTAAAGAATACCTCAAAACGCACGAAAGCTGACGCCAACAAGCCATTCCGGTCGCGGGCACTGTGTTGGGGGTCATTGGGTGTTGGGGGGGGGGGTTATTGAATAGCTTGTTTGTGGGTTCATTCTCTTAGTACTGGTCGTAGGAGAAGGTTTGGTGGACTGGTTGACGTACGTAACGTATCAATCGCCAGATTTCATGACAGATTATTAATATCAAAGCACGATATGCTGTGAAGACTGTCATGAATCTCGTACCGAATCATGCCAAGAACTATCGAGGATGTGAATATAGCGTTGTCGACTTATCCTTGCCTGCACTGTTGTACTCGTGACATTGATATGATGTGATGTGCTCAGTAGGTACTTTCTTTATTAGTTGTAGCTTGAGATGCACCTGCATGCAAAAATTAATAAATTTGTACCATTGCTGTGAATTGATCGCCAAAACATTGTTATTTCTATGGTAAAGATGGCAGGGTTAAGTAACCAATTTTTTGTTGCTTAGGATTACTTATACAAATATTAGGGAACCCCGATACAGTCACTGTGGGGCAATATCATTATCAGTCTTGATTGTCCTTTGGCATCGTTAAATCCGTTGTTACCAGTCATTCATAAATTATAAGCTGTTATCTCATAGGCTTGGCATAGAGTAGTCAACCAATGGGATACACTGTGTAATGGCACGGGTCAACAGTGTCATCGTGGCATTCCCTGAGTGCTGTACTGTGGCATGGCATAATGAACAATGCAATGGTTTTTCTATTGCAATTCCTGCCGCTTTCATAATAAATTTCATTCTGAAAAGATGAGTCAAGCATGCATTCTTGTATTAACTCCGCATCTGACAAATAACTGAGTAAAAACACATAATCCAATATGCAAATCACCTTCAGGAAAGCACACAACCAATGAGTGATGTCACTTGCTCAGCCTGTTTTGGAAATCCACCAAACATGGGTGACAAAGATGATGGGTGACATGGGTGACAAACACGTTCTCTGCTTCCACGGCCGTGCAGCATGCTACAGCCATCAGACTGCTTTACTCAAAACTGTTGCTCACACAAGTAATAACACATGTATAACAAGAAAATATTACATCTGGTGGCATGACACTGCAAATCTGCTGAAGTTGCACAACTCTGGAGACATGACAAGTGTCTGCAGTTATGGTTAGATCAGCGAAATGCAAGGAAATGGTGAAGCTGCTGATGAACATAAGGCTCATGTTAATGACATTTTAAGTGCTATCCAAGAAACCAACAGCAATACCTCTCCACCTTTCCCAGCACCCAGCATCTCACAAGTTGCAGTAACTATGACATTGATGACTCACAAGCGATGCTTGCCGGCATACAGAATTCAGAATTCCTAACGGAAAGACAATTTTGCAAAGCTGTATCATGTGAGCTTATACCAAGCATGTGCATTAAGGAGCTGCGCAGACCGGCCCCTAGTGCCAAAATGAAGTGCTAATATAATGGCATGCAATGGATTAATTGCATGCCGTAACGCTTTAATAGGTTTAAAATGTTATGTGCGAAATCATAATGAAGTAGCAAATTGCGTTTGCACACCCCTGCAACAAAGGTAGAGGCAGGAATCGATATGTCACATTTTATTATGAGTCAGTAGACTTTAAAATTTAGTAAACTTTAGTTTAGAGCAGTCTTTTCAACTTAAAAGTATACTGATTGTCATGTGTGTGCTTGTTTCATTATATTTGATGCTTGCTCCAATATCTTGCGATGTGAAGAAGCGCGAATGCATCGAGCTAAACCACGGCTTCCGCATGTGCCTTTGACAACCATTTTTTTGGTAAAAATAATGTAAGATGTATCTCCATCTTACTATATATAAAACGGTGTTAGAGCATGTAGCCGACGCCTTTCCAAGAAAGCAATGCCAAATCAGATATTTCAATGTGTTCAAGCTCTTCGTACAATTGTCTTCTGCAAGTCCAATCTGCAAGAAACGGTGACCCAGGAAATTTATATTTTTGGTTAGCGGCCAGGTGCTAATCCCACTAATCCCCTCATGGCGCCAACGGTCGGCAGGGAATGTGCGGATTGTCGGCAAAGCTGGGACTCGGCGGAAACACGGCAGGAGCGTGGACGCGTGGGGCGTCCTCGCGGCCGGTCTCTGAACGCGCTTTTGTCAAGCACCGCCGCACGCGCCCTTCCATTGGTTGGTGAAGGGCGAACTGCCGCGCCTTCCCCGGCGGCTATGATGGCTGGAGTGTTAGGGTGCATCGATGTCGTCGTGGGTCAGTTTGCGCCCACACCGGTGGCTAGAGTGGTCACCTACATCCAGGATTCGGTAAGTGCCGGTTGTACCTGTGGGACGCGCGAGTGTTGGCGAAGTAAGGTAGTGGTCTGAACCCCAGCTAATATCGTTCTCACGTGCTCTTCATCAGGTTTACTACTGTCATCGGGCAATGGGGATGAATAATCGACCCACCCGTTATCACCTTGGAGGTGACAGGGAATGGTGTTTGTGGTGCGTGGTAGTGTTTTCTTCACAGCAGCTCTAAGTGTAACGGTGTATTTTTTAGATTTTGTCCGAGCGTTCGGCTTGTATGGGTTTCCGGGCTCAGAGAACATGTCAAACAGTGCCGTGTTGCGTGAACCGTGGCGGGGTCCATCCCATTGTGATTTCCTGGTCAGCGTCAGACTTTGTGGTGAATGTTTACATGACATAATGCTGCACACAGTCCACCCTGCCCCCTGACATCACCTCATCTGTCACCTGGTCGCTGCTCCTCGGCTGCAAGCCATACCCATCGGAGGCGCAAACAGCGAGTGTTTTAAAACGGCTCGAACCCCCCCCCCCCCCCCCTGCCACGTGTATGAATAGTTGTAAAGAGGTATAACTGATGAGCGCCTTTTGCTTGTGAGGTTACTGCATTATTTGCGAACTGAGGTGTGTTTCTGAAGCGCGTTGAGTTGGTCCGTCGTGTTCGAAGTGTACCGTCACAGAGAGAGGGTCGGCTGGGTCAGTGGCTAAGGCATTATTGTTTTCACAGACAATCGCACAGCCGAAATGACTAAGGAGACCGATATGACAAAAAAGAAGGAAAGGACTGTCTCTGAAACATCTAGTTCCAGTGGGTCGACAGTGAGTGATTCTTAAATATTCGAAGGTCATCGTGTTCTTCGTGTTAATTGTCATAAATAAAGCTCTATGTGATATAGTTGGGCATATCTGTCTTCCTGAACAACGGCCGTAATGTGCGCTAAATGCTGCGTCCATGTAACATGCTGTGTTTCATTGCACTGGTGTGCGAAAAGCGAAAGATATGCGTTTGGTGATTCCGGCAACGTGCGTAAACTAACGCATGACTTCTAGTCACTATGCGTCTGCTCTGACAATGCGCTGCCGATTGTCGTCCTTGTCACGATCATTCCCTCAACCGATCGATAACTCCACCCCTTATCGCAATTCTCATTCGATTCAAAACCTAATATCGTCCACGTCTATTTCTCAGACTTCCGGCACGTCAGCGACAGCCTCTGCCGACCCGAACCGGCTGGCGAGCCGCCGGCCGTTCTCGACGCCGTCCGACCTGGCCGCCGTCAGCAAGGGCGCAGCCCGGCTGCTGTCGCGCCCGGCCAAGCGACCCAACTGATGCTGCGACCAGTGCTGCTGCCACGTGCGCTGCAGTGTAGCCCTGAAATACAGGCTTGAGCAAGCACTTCGTTTGGGTTCTGGAACTGATCGGCAGACCAAAACGTTACATGATGCAAATTGGATCGTTGGCGTTTATATTTGCAACTTGGACAATGCTGCGATTTTTAAATATGTCAGAAACGAATGGATTGTTACCTACTGTAAGTGCTGTGAACTGTGTAAACAAAATTGTTACACGATACACTGATATTGAGAACCGCGTTGGTAATACGCGGGGGACCAGCAAATGGTTAGAGAGCACAACACGCAACACTCACGGATGATCAGATCGTTTGTACCTCCTGCACAACCGCTGACAGATACCAGTGTGAGTGAAGAACAGAAATATGGTGGCCTCGTAAATGAAAATAGAGAAGCACCCACTGCCCATATCCGTGGTGTTGGTGCTCCGATCATTGGCAGGAGCAGGCCACCTTAACTGCCATGACATTGGGGGAAAGCACGTGCCAACACCCTTCACTGCAGCCGTAGATCCGCAGATCCGTGACTCAAATAGATATGAGGATGCTTTGAAATGTTGTCTAGTTCGATGCGCCACCGCAGAGGCCCACGTCATGCAGCCGACCCCCTCCCCATCCTCCGGCAAAAGAAGATGAGCTGAGTGAACGCAGGAGTGCCCTCAGTGGTAACTTGGGTGGGGCAGCAGCTTCATGGCGATAGGCATGCTGTGGAAAAACAGCTATGGTTTTTCACGGGGACGTACGTGAATAAACTTTAAACTCCAGTGATGCCAGGAACCCGTGGATATTTTTGCCTTTAGAATATCTTCATCTTTTTCCGTAGTCCAAATTGTGTACTCCAAGGCCAGAAATGAAGGAGTGGTGATATTTAGCCTCTAAGCTATCTGATACGTTGAAGGGGGAACTGAGGATATAGGTCATTCTTAAATATCATTCATACACATCATATTATACTACACACAAAATGTCTTTCCCTAGATACTATGAAAAACGAACTTTTATACATCTATTGTGTACAAGAGCATGTGTATAAAGTAATAATTGTCTTGATTATGGACATCGGACTGGTCGAAATACTGAAAAAAATCACTGAGCTTTGGCAGCATTCTATAACCACGCACCAAAAACGACAAACGTACCATACGAAGCCTCGAACAAACGCCCATGAAGGCGGTGAGTGCCGACTTCGCGCTGGTGTACAGGCAATATTGTTATATATATATATATATATATATATATATATATATATATATATATATATATGTATATATATATATATATATATATATATATGTGTGTGTGTGTGTGTGTATGTGTGTGTGTGTGTGTGCGTGCGTGTGTGTGTGTGTGTGTGTGTGTGTGTGTGTGCGTGTGTGTGTGTGTGTGTGCGTGTGTGTGTGTGTGTGTGTGTGTGTGTGTGTGTGTGTGTGTGTGTGTGTGTGTGTGTGTGTGTGTGTGTGTGTGTGTGCGTGCGTGCGTGCGTGCGTGTGTGTGTGTGTGTGCCTTTAAACAAAATCCTTCCTTTGACTTCAGGCATTTAAACAATAAACAAGACATGCCACCGAGGAGTCCATCATTTTACTTGCAGTTTTATCCTCCAACGGAGAAAAGCCAAAAAGAGAGCTTTGGAACACCACACAAAAGAAGCCTACGCCACTTCGAGGGGATATTGTCAACTGCGCAGCACAGCTGCTGCGTTAGCAGCAGCAGCAGAGGCAGTAGGAGTACTAGCAGCAGCAAGAGCATCAGCAAGAGCAGCGGCGAAAGCAGCGGGAACAAAAAAGGGGAAGGGAGAAAAGAGGGGGAGGAAAAGTAGCATGAGTATCAGCAGCGCCAGCTGCAGCACAACCAGGAACTGCACCAGGAGCAGCTCCAGCAGTCCCACTAGGAGTAGCACCAGCACCAGCACCAGGAAATGCAGCAGCATCACCAGCAGCAGCACCAGCAACAGCAAGGGTGCGAGCAAAAACAGGAGCAGAAGCAGGGCGCGAGCAGCAGAAGCACCAGCAGAAACGGCAGCACCAGGACCGCCAGCAGCCACGGTATCAACAAGAGCACCAGTATCAAAACAAAAGCGAGATTTGGCAGAGGCCAATTACCTACCGATGAAGAAATTAACATCTGCCGAAGTATACCTGCTAAGCAAAGACTGGAACTTTATTCCGACTAGGAAGACGTCATCTGCGAAAATGATCGCCAATCTGAAATAATGGGAGCACGTGATACGGCTACGGGAGTACTGGCACGGGAGGCAGAGAGAGGACGGTCAGGATACTGAAGCTAGCGACCAAGCAATCAAAGACGAAAAGTTCAGCTGGATGTTCCAGGGAATTGAGATCCCAGGCTAGATCTATGCCTGGAGAAAGTTACAAGGGAAATTATCACCCGAACACGTGAGAAAAACAACAGCAGCCTATCTAGAGAAAAGAATTAGCGTTCCGTGGTCTGATTGAAGACCAATCAATAATTATACGGCATGCGGATAAAGGTTCCGGGATGGAGCTCATTGACCAAGAGCAGTATAGCGAACAGCTTTACGCAGCAATTGGAGGCAACCCATCCATCAGGGCACGGAGGCCGATCAAACATCTAACGTGCAAGCAAAGGCAAAAAAACCTCATCAACAAGATGATGAGAGTAGGTTCCATGGGAAGACACCAGATGCACGACATGGCGGCAACCAATCCTTGGTCAGGCAACCTCTGGGACGACCCAAAACTACACAAGATGAGATGCCATTTCAGGGGATCGCCAGTGGCAGACACCGGGCGGCGGAGCGCCTGGCTGACCGTGCGAAAATGACCTGCAAATTTATGTGGAAACAGAAGTCCGTTATCCATGACACACCAAACTCCCACAAAAAGATTGACAAATTACCACAACCAATCGGGTCTCATAATAAGGGCATCCCAATCATCTTTTAAATAGATGTGAGTGGACTTCATTCCAGCATACCACTGCGGGAGGCGATTGCGGCGTGCGAAACGGATTTGAACCGACGCGCATCGCCAACAATTCCAATGGAAAGTGCACTGAAAGTTTTGAGCTAGTTTTAGGGAGCATACATTCTAAATGGAATGTCCCACCTCTGTAGTATTTCAAAAACACGATCTGGTAAACTCTCAGGGACCAGTCATTAACATAAATAGCACCGGCGAGCGGGACTGCATGACCAATAGGATATTATGTGCAAATCACTTTCTTGTCAGGTCAGAATTACGCGGGACAGCATTTCAGACCAGCCCTGGACTCCTTTTTTCTTTTAGCATGGGCAATGTGTATTTCTACGACCTTCAGTGAGATTCTAGCATACGCAATGCAGTGTAAGTGTCCAATGTCTTCCACGCTTTGTTTTTGTAAAACTTTACAAGCAAAAACTGGAGTGGTGTAGTTGGTGTAATGAAGAGAGAGCAACACTGAAAAACACGAGCATAGAAATTCAAAACATCTTGTGCTGTGCCTTTGCCATCATAGCAAACCAAACAGTGGTTTTCTGGATTTAGTTTTGTGCACTGATACTGCTATTCCACTTTTTACCAGTAAGTAACAAAAAGGCTAAGTGCGCCAAACGTTGTGCTGGTTAGTAATTTTTAACGCAGTTGCGCAAAAGATGGCAACTGGAAATTGTGCAGGACGTTGATCCTGATGTTAACAATGTTGCACCCAACGTGCGATGGTGAGCTTCTCAAAATATTTCATGATAATTACAGAACATCCGCGCCTCACGTTGAAACAACTGGTCAACGACGACTGTTGGGTGTTGTCGCTCAATAGCCACATTAATGATTGATCGCCTCCAAACAGCAAATGAATACAATGTTTTGGTATGCATCACTTACGTGCCATTGGTGCCAGTGAAAGTATGCTCAATACCTGCTTCTGTCTTTTATTTTTGTTTCATTCTGTTTGTGATAAGAGGAAAGGTTCGGGTGAAATCATTAAGCGAACAGGAACATCCTGTCACATGAATGTCAGAATCCAAAACACCATTGTCCCGTGCTTTTGTCCTCATCACACACCTACAAATGATTCCTGAACTGAGAATATGTGCTCATTTTGCTATTGTATCCCTTTGTCGGTGCATCATGCTGCATGACTCATCATATCAGAAATTGTACTGGATGATTATCAGCGCACTTGAGCCACAGGTGTGGTGACTGGATGATTATCAGCGCACTTGAGCCACAGGTGTGGTGACTGGATGATTATCAGCGCACTTGAGCCACAGGTGTGGTGACTGGATGATTATCAGCGCACTTGAGCCACAGGTGTGGTGACTGGATGTTTATCAGCGCACTTGAGCCACAGGTGTGGGGACTGGATGATTATCAGCGCACTTGAGCCACAGGTGTGGTGACTGGATGATTATCAGCGCACTTGAGCCACAGGTGTGGTGACTGGATGACTATCAGCGCACTTGAGCCGCAGGTGTGGTGACTGGATGATTATCAGCGCACTTGAGCCACAGGTGTGGTGACTGACAATTGTATCGGATGTTTACCAAGATGCTCACAATATTCCACTCAGCACGCAACGGCTGGTGTTCATAACATATCGCATAATAAGAGCGGAGCATCAACATTGGCACCCTGCATTGAAATACGTCATAAGAAACAGCACTCAGGGCCATAGGTTGTCATTTGACATCAACGTAAACCAGTGGTGCCAGCCAAAAGGCCGGTAGATTACACTGCTTTTTGGGTACCTCGTGCCTCATTGATACCGCTCAAAGGTATCACTGAACTCCTTCTGTTTTTTTGTGCAACTCGGTCAATGAAAGACCGGGAAGGTTCAGCTGAAATCAGGAACGCAATCAAAGCTTTGGCAGAGGGGGCACAAAAAGTTGACAAAAGCCCCCTGATAGTGAAAGGCCTCCCTCCCTTAAAAGAATCTCCGGATATGACCTACTTGTAAATGAGGACACACTTTTGTGTTATTCTTTAATTTTTGCCCTCTGTGACTGCAGCAGGTGCCAAAAGCTATCACGAGATCCAGTTCTATCCGAATTTTATACTTAATCAGCGGAAGGAATCATGCGGTAA